CGTTGGTTGCAGGCTAACCAAGCCTTGATCTTCCGACTTTCAGGCTTCCCTTCTGACAGTATTTCTCCTGAGATGTACTAAACGCATCACCGGATGCCATTTCGCTCAGCTCTATGAGCTATACCGCCATATCGAAATGACGCATTTGTGGAGAATGCGTCGTCTCTTCTGTCTTCCCTTAAACGGTCGCTATGGCACGGGTGAGTTTCTGTCGACGGGTAGGATGCTGACGTCCTGGAGGGAAGAAGTTCAAAGGATTCAATGACGGATAGACAAGCTAAAGTGTTTGCTTGCACAGCTCTAAAAGGAACTAAAGTAAGCCTTCATTCCTATCTTCCCGACATCACTATGGCCTCACTTGCTGAGTCGAATTTGAGAATTCATATTTACATGCCCGATTGAGAGGAATGGGACTAGAAAAAGAGGCGCTTTCATGCAGATCGGCTAAAGCCGAGCCGATATTTTACTAAGAATGACGAAATTTCACTCGAAAACGGTAGGCAGTTCTCCTACCACACAGAAGAAGTACTGAAATGTATGATGCTTCGCCTGTAAACTTGAGTGTCAACTTGTGTGTTTCTCTTTGTGTGTGTGTGTGTGTGAGAGAGAGAGAGAGAGTGAGTGAATACTGACAAGTGTGACCTCATTTGAGCGATTAATCCAAAAGCGCCAGCATACATGGCGCTCCTCAGATAAGAGAGGTCGCTCGGCAACGTGTATGCCCTCCATAGTTAGCTCGTCAAGTTCAAAGTGTAGCCATGACTTCAGCTCCCACATTCCATGTCGGCCACCATCGCAACTTTGAACGGACTCAAACATGTAGCGTCGAGATCAGCAGTGTTAAAACTCAGAGTGAATGGAATAGCGAAGTTATCGGGTCAGCAAAATGGATATATAGATAAAATAGTACATGAAAATAAAGTCATTGAGGAGATTATTTTGATGACATGGAACTTGTGCGCGAGAGGAAACACATGCTTTTGGACGGCTCCAGACAACGCGAGCAAATGGTCTCAGTTAAAATGAACCCGGCGAGTACCCTTTAGAATTTTTAAAGAGGCAAAACTGCGCGCAAAAAATCTGATTAGGGTATTAAGAACTAATGAATGGGGCTTAAAGTAATGGTACATTTGGCAACGTTATCGTCAGAGGATGATGAAGTTGGGAGTTGACGATTCCGAA